AGCAGCAGCAGGCAGGGGGGGGGGGCCCCCACCACGAAGACACCGTGGGGTGTATAGGCAGCTCGGGGTCCCGCAGCATTTGTACTTTTAGCGGGGAGACAGAGCAGCAAGAGGAGACAGATGAGAGAGAAGGAGACAGTCCCTCTGTCTCCTTTTCTTTACACTGCAACCAAACCCCACAAAATATTTATACTGTCTCCGCTCCTCCAGACGTGTCTCCTACTATTCAGCAGCAGCAGCAGCAGCTGCTGCTGCTGCAGCAGCAGCTGCAGCAGGAGCAGGAGCAGCAGCTGCAGCAGGAGCAGGAGCAGCAGCTGCAGCAGCAGCTGCAGCAGGAGCAGGAGCAACAGCAGCAGGAGCAGCAGCAGCTGCAGCAGCAAGATATTTTGTCTCCTTCTTATACAAACACCCCCTCAGCTGTCTCCTCTCTTTCTCCTTATAAACAAAACCCTAACGATGATGGATGCAGCGAGGGGGGCCCCTGCATGGGGGGCCCCCACATATGCAGTACCCTCCCGCCTCCTTTCTGTTGTGGTGTTGGTCTCCGCACCTCTTGCTGCTGCAGCAACTGCAGCAGCAGCAGCAGCAGCAGCAGCAGCAGCAGCAGCAGCAATATACTGAAGAAAGTACCTCCAGCCTTGAGAGATATGGTGGAGGCGTGGCTGCAGGTGAAGCAGTGGGCGGAGGGCCCCCAGCAGCAGCAGCAGCAGCAGCAGCAGGGGGGCCCCCAGCAGGAGCAGCAGCAGCAGCAGCAGGGGGGCCCCCAGCAGCAGCAGCAGCAGCAGCAGCAGGGGGGCCCCCAGCAGCAGCACGGGAGAGCTGAGAGGTGGTTATGTATTATAGCGAAGCTAGCAGACACAGACACCCTCAATAGTCTCCTTCTTTCTCTTGGTTTAGATAAAGTAAGTTTATACAGTATATGCTGCTGCAGCTGCTGCTGCAGTAAGGAGACAGTTGCTGCTGCTGCAGCAGCAGCAACTGTCTCCTCTGCAGCAGCAACTGTCTCCGTGATGCAGCAGCAACTGTCTCCTTACTGCAGCAGCAGCAGCAGCAGCAACTGTCTCCTTACTGCAGCAGCAACTGTCTCCTTATGTAGATGCAGCAGCAAGATAAACAGCAACCTGAATATATCTGTCTCCATCTGTCTTATACTTTATCTTTATTTTGTTTCTCTTTTTGTTTATTTTTTTTTGTTTGTTTCTTTTTTTTATTTCTTTTGTTGTTTATCTCTTTTTTGTTTATGTTGTTTTTTGTTTTTTTGTTTATTTTTATTTTGTTTTGCCTTTCGGGTTGTACTTAGATAGAAGCACATATCATGCATTCTTATTTTATTGTAATTTGCTGCTGCTGCTGCTGCTGCTGTTGCTGCTGCTGCTGTTGCTGCTGCTGCTGTTGCTGCTGCTGCTGTTGCTGCTGCTGCTGTTGCTGCTGCTGCTGTTGCTGTTATTGCTGCCGTTGTTATTACTTTTATTCTTATTGCTGCTACTGCTGCTTTTGTGCTGCTGCTGCTGCTGTTGCTGCTGCTGCACCTCTTCTGCCGCTGCTGCCCCTGCCCCTGCTGCTCCTCCCCCT